ATGCTACTACCCTAGCCCCCCCAGTATCTAGTACTTGGGCTAATGGCAATGGCCTGCTCTCCCCTTTAATCCATCCTTCACACACTGTCAGAATAGTCTGAGGGTTCTTAACTTTTTAGGTCATGGACCCATTTGGCAATCTGGTAAAGCCAGTGGACCTTAATAGCTGGCCAGCTGTATTGCAAGAGTATGTGAACACAAGGAAAACTTCCATTATGTGTGATTTAGCGGTGAGTCAAATAATTACAGTACTTTTGAAGTAGTGATGAGGGTAAAAGATATTTCAAGATCTCTGCAACAACTCTAATACGATATGAAAATGTCTGTAATTTCTGGTGGAGACAAAACACAGGAACTGCTAATACTGCTCTAGTTTGCTGCCTATGTTCGTAACTAAAGGAAATGCTAAATTTCAGTTAGAGTCAGTAGAAATAAGGATCAACCCTGATGCTAGAACTGTTGTTTCAACTGTTTCTTTTGTATATGTATGATTTATTTTTTCCTCATCCAAGTTCATGGACTTCCTGAAATCTAACCACAGAGCCATTAGGGCTGTGTGGACTCCAGATTAAGAACCCTTGTTCTAAAGTACAACATTCAAAAAACCTCCTTACCAATAGAAGGAAATCAGAATTACTTCTGGATCCAGGCCCGTCATAGTATTTCCTCATTCTGTCTATCCAGACTTATCTCTCACTGCTCCCAACAGGGTTAGGCCCTTCTCTGTACTCTCTGCCCCATCATACTCGCTTTCCTCATGATGATCTTTGAACCTTCGGAAAACCCTCCTAATATGCTCATCCATTTTCAAGGAGGAGCTCAAATCCCTCCTCTTCCATGAAGCCTTCCCCTAAGGCTTATATAACTTTTATCACCATGACTTCCTCCTGTGATCAACCTTAATTTTAGAACTTGGTTATATCCTGCTTTACGCTGAAGTTTAACTGTTTCTTATAGATATGTGTCTTATCTCAAGAGGACTATAAACTAGGCAGAGAGAGAGTTTAAGAATTATATCTCCCACAGTTCCTAGCAGGTAGTAGACTTATATAAATATCTGCTAGATTGAATTCATGACAACTTTTTTCCATGTTTTATCATAAGGCATCTATGCGTAAAGATGTTTTCATGGACTTGGTTCACTGCAGCTCTTTTGCACACATATTCAGCACAATGAAAGGATTCACCTACCCCTTAAAGGGTAACTGAACTGAATGTGCCTATCAGTCAGAAAGTAAAATACAAAGGCCTGCCAAACTGGAAAAATAATGGATATGCCCACATATTAAGCATTAAAAACAAACCTACGTATGAAAAACTTGCTTAAATAAAACTTTCACAGAAATGATTTCTTTGCTTCTCGAGAAATGTCATTAATCCTGCAATCTCATGAAAGCCAATCTGGTAAAGATTATAGTAGACTTCACAAATGATATTAGTTTAGAAAAACACTCAGTATTAAAATTTCAAATCTCACAATATAAAGTGGTCAAAGACATCTAGCATAACGAATTGGGCTCACAAAAAAAGGATAATCTTGCAACTTCACTTTTTAACATAAGCTACAGTTCTTCCAAGAAATGGAATCTGTTCAAATATTTCTTGAGCATCTACTATATTTAGGGCTTCGATGAGGACTTGAGGTAGGAATATAGATAAATAGAAAACAATCACTGTCCTCAAAGATCTCACATTCTGGTAAGAGAAACCAAATATAATTGGAAATAACATTGCAAGAGAGAAGAAATAATTCACCACAACAAGCCACAAGGTGTCCCACCAATCCTAGGCAATACAAGTACTATTCTGCCTATTTTATAGATGAGGAAACTGAAGCCCAGAAAACCTATATGACTTGTCCAAGGTCACAAAGCTAGCAGTGGCAGAGCTGGGTGTAGAACTCACATCTGATTCCAGAGCTATGACATACTGTGACACATTGCCCTCACAATTTTATGTTCCTAAACAGCATTTGAGAGAAACTATTCTGCCCAAGGCTGCACAAGCTAATATGTATAGAGGTAGTTTTTGAACTGAGGTTTTCCTGGCTTTGACACTGTTCTAGCTACTATAGCCAGCTGCCTCTGCAGAGATTCAATAAATAGTAACAATTATAATAAAAAAGAAACTAATGTGTCTTATATTGTACCCCTAGCCTTTTATGTGGCATGTTCTTTTTTTTTTTTTTGGCTAGGCAATGGGGTTAAGTGACTTGCCCAGGGTCACACAGCTAGTAAGTGTTACATGTCTGAGGCCGAATTTGAACTCAGGTTCTCCTGAATCCAGGGCGGGTGCTCTATCCACTGCACCACCTAGCTGGCCCTGGCATGTTCTTTCTTACACAGTATTCAAAATACAATATTAATTAGCCTGTTTAATAAAAGCTTCACCCATTAAGGGTGTTAGTATATAAGATGTACCTTGTTGTCACAAATCTTTCTACTTAATATAACTAGGTTTATCCCACTGCTTCTGGCAGCAGATTAACCATTGTGACTGCACTTCCCAGAGTAATTCATTTGTTCAACAGTTAATAAATCCTTACCATGTGGACTATACTAAGATAGGTAAAAAATTACTATGGAGATTTGGAAGAGGGAGAGATTACTTCTGGCTGGTAGAGGGTCAGGAAAATCTTTATGAAGGAGGCATTAGAACAAAGGGAGACGAGGAAAGATATTTCAGGAAGCAGAATTAATTTTTAAGTTATAAAGTATAAAATGATAGGCATCCTGAGTTGTGAAAAGAAGACCAACCTTTGAGTCAGGAAGACTTGGGTTTAAGTTCAGTCTCTGCCTCATAACAAGCTGTGTGACCCAGCATAAGTTACAACCTCTCAGTGTACTAGGCAACTGTCCAAAGAAGGGAGAGCTCATACCAAGAGTTTCTCATACTGCTGAAATCAAAGGTCCAGACAATAAAAGGGGGGGAGGGGAGCATATACAAACATGGTCACAGTTAATTTTTTGATGTATATCATTCCATTTCTGCAAACCTTCAATTCAATATATTGCTGGCAGAGATAACAAAGTTCAGATAATACTTGGTCCTTGGCCTCATGGATCATATAGTTTAAACAAGCTTCAAAGATCTAAATACCAAACTTTTTTTTCATAATGTTAACGTCATCATGATCGATTACTTAATTGTGTTCATATAGTTCCTGGGTTTGTCTTGGCAGGTAGACTCCCACATATTTTATATTGTCTCCAGTTATTTTAAATGGAATTTCTTTTTCTGTCTCTTGCTGCTGGAATTTGTTGGTGATATGTAGAAATGCTGATGATTTATGTGGGTTTATTTTGTATCTTGCAACTCTGCTAAAGTTGTTCATTATTTTCCCTAATTTTTTAGTTAATTCCCTAGGATTCTCATAGTTTTGTTTCCTCATTGCCTATTTTAATTCCTTCAATTTCTTTTTCTTCTCCTATTACTATAGCTAACATTTCTAGTACAATACTAAATGACAGAGGTGATAATGGGCATCTTAGCTTCACCCCTGATTGTACTAGGAGGGCTTCTTGCTTAATCCCATCACAGATAATGCTTGCTGATGGTTTTAAATAAATATTACTTATCATTTTAAGGTAAGTTCCATTTATTCCTATACTCTCTAGTGTTTTTCATAGGAATGGATGTTGTATTTTGTCAAATCTGCATCTATTGAGATAATCATATGATTTCTGTTAGTCTTATTATCGATATCATCAATTATGCCGACAGTTTTCCTAATATTGAACCAACCCTGCATTCCTGGTATAAATCCCACCTGGTCATAGTGTATGACAGCAGATTTGTTTTTAAAGAAAAAAAAAGCAAAATTTGTCTTCAGTATCCTACCTCCTTCCTTTCTTGAGTTCTTGCTACGCGCGCTACTTGTCTGAGTTGCCCAAATCCTCTCATTAGAGACCCCACACTCCCCATCTTCAGCCTTCTCTTTCCCTATGAAAAACCATTTAGTCATCTCAGACTACTACATGCTCCTTAACATTTTACAGGGATCTCCTAGTGATACAATCCAAGGTGGTAATGGTGGTTATGTACTCCCCTGACTGATTAGGTTTAAGCAAGAGGTACCGAAAGGGGGTCTAGATGTGGGGATTCATAAACTGGATAAAGGTCGGGCTAAATGACCTCTCAGGTCCTTTTCTTACAGTGAGATTGTGTGATTCAATATATTTGAAAGCCTAAATAAGAGAAAGATTTTGGTACTGTCTAGTCCTTTAGAAACGGGTTCTTTTTCATAATCATAGAATAACAGAACGTTGAAGTCGAAAAGAACCTCAGAAGTGGTCCAATATCCCAGTATCTCTGCTCAACTTCTTCCAGTGAGAGCTTGGTCACTGTTTTAAAAGACAACGATGAGTAACGAAGTGAGCTTCGGCCCTGGAATCAGGACATCTTGATTCAAATCCAGCTTGTGTACCTGACAGCCCCGGGCCCACTTCAGTTCCACCTGTATGATGTCCAACACTGCTAGACCTACCTACCTACTCACCTATCTACCTTTTCTAAGCAGGTAGGGGGCCTTAACTCCACTCCATCAATACTTACTGTTTTAGCCACACAGATTTGTTTCGGCTGTGACAAAACCCCACCTACTGTCCGAACTTGGAAACAGACAAATTGGGATCTTTAAACTTCAGAGTAGAGGGGCCTTTATCGAGTACTGGGACCGCTTTACGTGGAGCAGTTATTTTTGCCGTTTTGGTTTAAACCTGTCTCACTACCCCTTTCTCCGCCTTGGTGAAATGTCAGGTCCAACAGGAAGATCATCTCCCCTCCGCACTCCTTCCTCCAAGTAATCCAGTCTGGGAAAGGAGGGCGCTGGGGCTGAACCGGTGTGTGGGGGGGTGAAGTTTTGGTTTATTTCGAGAAGACTTTGGCCAGGCTCTCCTGACCAGCCGCTCCCGAGTTCACTTTCTGGAGTGGCACCGTGCACAGAGCGGGGCCGCTTTCTGCAGCGGGCGGCCCGGGCTCGCCACGCCTCGCTTGCTTACCTGGGCCGGCGGGGCCGTCTCCGCCGCCGCTGCCTGGGAGTCTGCTGCGGAGCCCGGCGGACGAGGCTGCGGAGCGCAGCGCGTGGCCGCAGCTCACCGACAAGTTCTCGGACGCCTTCCTGGCCAGCGAGAAGAAGGGGTGCGACCAGCCGGCGTCGTCCCCGGCCGCCGCCTTGCCCCCAGCCCCGCCGCGCAGCTCGCTCGCCGGGGGGATCTGGGTCCGGTCGATGATCTCAAAGTCTTCCCGCGGATCCACGTCCGGGGAGCCGCCAGCCTCCCCTTCGGCCATCTTTACACAGTCATCTGACACCAGTCAGGAGGAAGCGGGTTTGCAGCCGCCCTAGCCGCCCGCCAGCTCGCCTGCTCGCCCGCCTGCCCGGGGCGGCAAGCGCTGCAACCGGCGCCCAGGAGGATGCCATCGAATCTTTTTTTTTTTTTTAAATATATATCCCGGGTGGGTGGCGTGCGCAAGCCAGCGTGGGCAGGAATCAGTTTTAGAGAGAGTCTTGAAGCTGTTGTGGGAAGGGGTGCGGTTTGGGGGAGCTCCCAGATGCGAAGCGGGCAAGAGTGAATTTGGGGAGGGTTCTCAGATGCGAGTCAGGGAGGAGTGAACTTGAGGGGTCTCAGAACCAGAGTGGGCAGGAGTGAACTATGGGAACGACCTTAGGAGATTATATAGGCAAGAATAAAAATTGAGGGGGTCAGTGTAGGCAAGAATGTGCTTCGAGGGGTGCCTAGAGGGTGGCATGGGAGTTTGGGAGCCAGGCCTTGGCGTCGGTTTCCCAGGGGTTTGGTGTGATTGTGTGTTTGGGCAGTAGGGTGGAGGAGGGAGTTCTTTGTTGAGGAATCACTAGGCTTTCCACATTCTTTGTGGTGAGGTGGCCTCAAGGGTCTCAGTTCTTCATTGATTTAAGTCCAGCCTTTGGTCGTTCCTCTGAAGAGCCTGCTCTGAAGAGGGCCCACGTAAGGGGAGAGAGGGGAGAATGAAAACAAATTAGGGAATATGAAGCAGGGAAAGGGATGTGGGAAGTAACGACTTCAAGAAAGAATATGAACATTGTGAGTGAAAGTCATTTCATTCTTTGTACTTGTATACTCAGTGCCTAATAACGTGGGCACTTAAGTAGGAACTTAATAAATACTTGATTAATTGCTTATAAGAGAGGAGGGAGCTCCATACTTCTCTATACTGTCTAGGGCAAGCACCACCACCTTCCTAGTCACCTGGACTCCCAATCTATCCCCAGTCCTGTTGATTTTACCTTTGTAACATCTCTGGCATGTTCCCTGTGTTACTGCCATCACCCTGATACAGGCCCTCATCGCCTTGTGCTTGGACTATAGCAATAGCCTGCTGGTGGGTCTATCTGCCACAGACCTCTCTTTTCTATTACACACACACACACTCTCTCTCTCTCTCTCTCTCTCTCTCTCTCTCTCTCTCTCTCTCTGTCTCTCTGTCTCTCTGTCTCTCTCTCTCTCTCTCTCTCTCTCTGTCTCTCTGTCTCTCTGTCTCTCTCTCTCTGTCTCTCTCTCTCTCTGTCTCTCTGTCTCTCTCTCTGTCTCTCTCTCTCTCTGTCTCTCTCTCTCTCTGTCTCTCTCTCTCTCTCTCTCTCTCTCTCTCTCTCTCTCTCTCTCTCTCTCTCTCTCTCTCTCCCCCTCCCTCTCTCTCCCCCTCTCTCCCTTCCAGTAAACTGAATGGTCTTCCTAGTTAGGTAAGTAGTGAACTTCCTGCCCCAGCAGGCATTTGGAAGTTAGTTAATGAGTTTACTATGTTTCCAAGTATATACAGAATTGATGGAAGGCAGTCTGGCAATAATTGTGGGGGGAATCAAGAAAGGCCTTCTACAGTGAGTGGCATTTAAACTGAACCTTGAAGGATGTTAGGGAAGCTAAGAAGTAGGGGTGGGGAGAATAAAGAACTCCAGGCATGGAGTACAGTCACTAATCCTTCCCTAGACCTCCTTCAAAGTAGACGATTCCTGAAATGAACAGGAGGTTCCATTTAAGGGGCAAAGAATTCTATGATCTTGTGAAAAGTAGCTCTACAGAAGATCTCTCTTTAAAGTTCATGTTTGGAAGCAAGGATTCTATGTTGATTACTTGGGTTCTTTACACCAGTCTTTAAGAAATAAAAAGGACAAAGCCATTTTTTTTACTCTGTAACTCATGTTCTCAGACTTTAGCAGCCCGAGTGGCCCTGATCATACATATTCTTCCTTCTGGCCACTATTTTCCCTGTTGTTTCTTGTTACCACAAAGCTCAGTCTCCCCTTCACACCCCTTCTGCCCCCAAAGTTGAAGGATTGGGCAGAAGATAGTGCTTTAGCTTTGACACCAAAAAAAGACGTGACATTTTAAATCAGTGCCAAAAAAACCCAGGGAAAACATTCTGTAATACGAGGGAATTGGGCTAATCATCTTCTAAGCCCTTTCCAACTCTAAAACTATGATCCTTTAATCATCACATAAACAAGGTCAGAAGCCAGACCCGTCACTTGTGAGGATTCTTTTCCAGTGATGGGCTGACAAAAGCACTAACTCTGAGGTGTGGGCGCCATCTTGTGGATTGCAAGTAGATGAGTTTTGAATGGTTTCCAGCAGTCTTTCCCAGGCTGATTTGGATATGGCTTCCAAGGCACTAGAAAATATGTATCTCTTACTAGGATCATGGCTCTAGAACTGGAAGTGACCTAGTCCTACCCTTTCATTTTACAGATGATGAAATTGATATCTAGGGAGATTAAGTGAGTTGTCCAAGGTCACAAAGAGGCAGGATTGAACCAAGAACTTCTGACTCCAGTGTGAGGGTTTTTCCTTCTGTACTGTGCTGGGGAAGACCAGGATTTGGGAATATAAATATGCTTGGGATAAAAAGGGGCATGAGGAAGCAAAATAGAGGACAGTAAGTCTCTTTTATCCAAAAATTGCCAGGTGTTTTTTAGCCACATATGTAATTTTATTTTAAATATTTTACAGGGGAAAAATGTAAACATCATTGATGTTTTTTCATGGAAAATTGTTTATGGAAATTTCATCATGGGAACACCTGGATTCTGTATGAGTTTGAGAAACAACATTTTATAATACTGGATTTAATTCACATAGTACATTGTGGTATGGGACCCCTGGTAGGTCTGTTGGAAATAGCACTGATGGGGAAAGTTACCAAGTGCTTGGAGCAGGCCTTAGACTAGGCCTCACTTCTTATGTGAGGCTCCTTCCATCACTTTTCATGGCCAATTTAATACTCCTGTGGCCTCTGGTAATAATAATCATAGCCTGGTAGTTATGTACATTAAAAAAAAACAACTCTGTTGAGATCCTGTGAGGTGGAGCAGTGGATAGAGCGCTGGTCCTGGAGTCAGGAAGACCTGAGTTTAAATCTAGCCTCAGATGCTTGCTAGCTGTGTGATCCTAAACAAGTCACTTAACCTCTGTTTATCTCAACTTCCTCATCTGTAAAATGGAGATAATAATAGCACCTCCCTCTCAGGGTTTTAGCATAGTTCTTGGAACATATTAAGTACTATGTAAACATTAGCTCTTATTATTATAGGAGGAGGCAAAGTAAAGTTGTGAGGCACTATGGAAAGTGAGATTGCCCCTGTTTCTTCTAGAACAGAGTGGAACCTGTCCTGCCCTGAGTGGGATCTGGGCAGCCAAAAGCCAGGTAACAGTTTAAAAGAGGGAACTGTCTTCATGCTGTTTACAGATTCCCCTCCCCTGCCACATACCTTTCCTGCTCTTACCCCTTTTCTTTTCTTCTTTGCTTCTTTCACAATGCTCTTCCTTAAGTATTGGAGCTGGAACTTCCTCTGAGATGGTAGAGCAGAAGGCTGCAGCACACCTGCTGAGAGAGAAACTGGCATATAAAAGATTAGAGCTGTGATCAGCACCACTCCTAAGCAATTGGGAATAAGCAGGCAATGTGGCTTTTGTGTGCCCACAAGCCAGGGAGCTGGTGGAAACACATCTTCTTTACCTTCTTACCAAAGTCCACGAGTCGTCTAGGGCACACCTCATCCCAACTATTAATTTCCAGGACCCGCAAGTATTATGAGGTTGGTCTCGGTTTCTTTTTGTTAGATTGTAAGCTTCTTGAGGGCAGGTACTGTCTTTTGCCTCTTTTTTGTATCTCCAGTTTTTATCACAGTTCCTGGCCCACAGTAAACACTCAATCAATATTTGTTGATTGATCTTATTTGCAATAAACCATGTGATCCAGTCGACAGTAACCTAAGATCCACTACAGGGTAGGGGCTCTGAATTAGGTATAGAAAGTAGATTTTCTGTTCTACCATATTGAGTAATATTCTCTATCAGCCGCTATATTAATTTTAGACCTGTCTAGCAAAGGGTTAATCTGAGCTAAATTGCTTAACAGGGTGGCAGAAGTCTCCTGGGAAAGGGCTGACTGGTGAAGGTAGGAAAGAAAGGGACCTACAAAGTCTCCATGATAGTTACTAAAATAGAGCCCTCTGGTGGCCAGTTCAGATATTGCATGCCACCTGTGGATAATCCACAATTCCAAGCTCTCTTTCTGTGGATTTCAAGAACACAGCACTTCAATCATAGGACCAAAGAGCCCATGTAGGAGCAAACGTCACATAGCTTACACTTGTATGCACTTTAGGGCTTACAACACATTTTCCTCTCACAAATCCCATGAAGTGGGTGATATAATTATTATTAGCCTGTTTTTATAGATAAGAAAATAGGAAGCAAAGATCAGAACCAGGGTATCTGCAAGCACATATTGGCAATGAGGCACAGTGGGAAGGATGTGGGATTGAAAGTCAGGGACCTGGGTTTTTGTTTTGCTTCTTTGGGCCCTAGATTCCTCATCTTTACAATGGGATCGTGGCAAGAGTTGGACAAGAGCATCAATGAAAATTCTATACCTAGGATACTGTCTTCGGCTGAGATGTTTGCTAGCTGTAAGAATCTAGGAGTGGGCCCAGTAACTTTGTTTCTTCCACTTTGAAATGTTGGGGACAGTATTATAGGAGAGCAGTCTGTGCTGAATCCGTAGACATCAGCATGACTTGCTTCCTAAGTACTGACTTACCTTCTAGAAACTTACTATACAGATTTGTCATGAGGAAGGAATAATCATGAAGAAAAGTGCTAATCCCTACCCCACAATTTCCTGCAATTCAACAAGCATTTATTATGTACCTATGCACGTATATGCCTGTGTACCTATGCACATAGCACTGGGCTAAGTGTTGGGGATACGAAGACAAAAAAGAAATAAACTAAGTCCTGCCCTCAAGGAGAGAAAGTAAGAAGTTTTGTTTTGGTTATGTTGAGTTTAAAATAGGTATTGGGACTGGAACTGTGATTTCAATGGCAAAGGGAACTCCCAGGTGAGAAACTCCCACTACTGATAATGGTTGGCACTCCCTCTGCAGCTTAGAGTCTTAGGGAACTGCCTCAGGCACATAAATAGCAGTGAGTATGTGTCAGAAGTGGGACTTGAACTCAGGTGTTCCTAGCATTGAAGCCAGCTCTATCTGATGGGCCAACTCTGCCTCTTAAGTTTGAGATGCTTATGGAAAATACCGGTGGAGATTTCCAGCGTGTAGTTGAACTGGATCCCAAGTTTAAGATTCATCTGCTGGAGGTGATAATTGAACCCCTGGGAGCTGATGTCATCCCTAAGAGTAGAGAGAGAGGAAAAGGGGAAGAGGTTCTTAGAAGAAGAAAAGGAGCCAGAATTTCAGACTGGGGTACACCTATGCAGAGGAGATAAGACCTAGAAGATAATCTGGAAAAAAAGGTCTTAGGAGCAGTCAGAGGAGAGAGCCAAGAGATTGCTTTCCTATTATTTCTATTCTCTCTCTGATTTTCAATTTCTCTGTATTCACTGGCTCCTTCACTGCTGCCTTCAAACATGCCCTTGTTCCTCCGTCCAGCTTGATCCTACCATTTCTTCAAGCTATCATTCTATGTCTCTTCTCTCCTTCTAGGAAAGACTCCTTGAAGGAAGCCATGTACAATCTGTTTGCTCTCTTCTCACTTGATTTCAGGCCCTTAAGCAATCTGCTTTCTGAATTCTTTATTGAAATGAAATTTCTCTCTGCAAAGCCACCAAGCGACCTCTTGATT